GGCAGGTGATCCTGGCTCCTGGGTGGGTTTTCCAGCTGGAACACACCGGGCAGGTGATCCTGGCTCCTGGGTGGGTTTTCCAGCTGGAACACACCAGGCAAGCCCCTCCTAAGGAAGTTCCCACCTTCCACGTGCTGCTCCTCTTGCACATACTCGCAAAGAAAGAGCGAGTGGCACCAGCCCAGGGCACAACAGCCAAGGGCAGGCACAGCCCCCCAGCTACAGTCACATCTCACAACAAATGCCACGATAAAAATAATTCCATTTAAAAATTGCTGGTTTCACTCTGGAGCTGCCTCTATAAAGCAATTTTCCCCGGCACCCCAGCATCACCACAAGGCCCAGCACCCAGCACCATCACCCCACACTGCTTCCAAACCATGCCCTGGGCAGCACATCCCCCTTCCCCGCAGGATGCCGGATGTCCTACCTTTCCAGGTATTTCTCGGAAAAGTCCACCATGGCGTGGTACATGTGGGCCGGCAGCGYGTGCCGGCGCTGGGAGAGGAGCGAGTGCCGCACCCCGGCCACCGCACCATAAATACGGGCGGCGCCGGCTGGGACCGCGCTGCGCAGCCAATGGCGCTGCCGGAGCTCCCCGGAGCATCCTCTGCCGGCTCAAGGTGAGCGCGGAACCCGCTCGGCAACCGGCCCTGACCCCGCCGAGCCGGGGGGGCCGCGCCTCCCCCGCCAGCCCCGCTCCTCGGCTCCGCCACGCGGCCGGGGGGACGTCCCTGCTGCAACGGCTTCGTTTTCATTTCAAGTGCCGGGGGGGAAATAATAGAAAAAGAACTAAAAATAGTCGGCAGCGAYGAGGCAGCGCGGGCCGACAGTGCCGCTCGCTGGCACAGGCGGCGAGGCCGGGCAGCTGCGTGTGCGGCTCCCTCGCACCCCGGAGCCGCTGGAACAACGTGTGGCTGCTCCACCTGCCCGGCACACGTGGACCCGGGCACAGGACACACAGCCACGGGCACCCCCGTGGCCCTGGCACCCGGCCGGACCCGCGYTCTGGAGGAGTTGGTGCCGAACATCCTCACCCGTGCGCCTGCCCCGCTCAGCTGCAGCTGTGTCTGAGGACAGCARAGGCCACGGCTGCCTTGTCCTTGCTCGGAGCCACGTTTTGGCCCCCCAAAGCCTTACCGGGAGCAGCTGGGGTGCTGCCGGTGTCCCTCGGGGGTCCCTGCGGTCCCTGCTCCCTCYGCTGCCGCAGATGTGCCGCGAGGGCTGAGCCTGACCCGCGGGGGGAAACCTCCCCATTCCACCTCCCCATTGCTCCTCCCGGCATGGGGCCAGCGGGAAGGAGGCCCCCAGCTCAGATTTCACCGSTTCCCTGTCCTCTGCCTGAACTCTCTGCAAGCTGGTTTTCCCAAGAGCCGGGGTCTTCACCCCATCAGAACACTGCGGAAGAGGGTGCCCCCAGCTGAGCTGGACAGTGCCCCCACACACCCCCACCACCCTCCCCAGAAACAATTCCATCTGGAGTGAGACCCCAGGTCATGCATTTGCTGCTGCCTCTCTGGAAAAAGTCAGGGGAAAAGACAGGGGAGCCCTAAGGGCTGCTGGTACCAGCAGGGCTCAGCCGAGGTGACCCCACAAACAGCCCTGGCTCGCCCTGCTGTCACCCCTGATGTGACACTTACAGGCTCCTGCTTCTTTTCTTGCGGGAAGTCTCGTCCCCTTCGTCACAGCTGCACTCGGCRTCAGCTCCACTCAGCTGTGGGAGAAGAGAAAAGCAGCATCTGTATCACCACAGCAGGACATGTCCATGGGGTCACTCTGTGTCACCGACCAGCAGGGCCAGCACGGCCACAGTCCCCACAGCCACACAGAGCAGACCCACAGCACCCACAGGCCTCCTCCCTCACGATGGCGATGGCAGGGGACAAGCTTGGCACAGGAACCTCTCTCCCCTCTCTCCTCTCTCATCCTGTACCAYCTGCAGCCCCTGCTGTTCCTGGAGTGCCCAAGCAGCCCCCACAGTTGGTGGCCCAGGCACCCTCCAGGCTCAAGGTGTTGACTGTGGCACCTCCTACACGGGGGACATTCACATCTCCGTTCCTGATGCTCCTACTCCTGCTGCCATGAGCGGGCACAGGGAYCTCTCCCCAGCTCAAAGAGCCCCCCAGAACCAGGCTGAGCACCCCAAATCAATCAGGAGCTCCCACAAGTCCCCAGGCAGGAAAAAATCAGAGCAGTTCACCCATCATTGAATCACATCATTGCAGTTTACAAGTCTGAGGAGCATCCAGAGGCCTCTGCTCCCCAACCACTGACCCAGGATAAACCAAAGGGACCTGGGATGTGCCACGAGCTCGGGGCAGCCCCGACACAGCCTCTGGGGCAGGCGGGGAGACCCCTGGATTCACCACAGCACGGGGTCTTCAATCCATCCCTCCCTGCACGCCGCAGATGCTCACAGCCCGCCCTGCATCCCGCCCTGCAGCACCCCCGACCCGGCAGGGGCTCACCCCGCGCTCCGGGGGCTGCCAGGYGCTTTCCAGGATCAGCACCCGCGGCCGGGCCGTGGGAACGCAGCGCTCAGCCCGCAGCCCCGCGCCCGAGCCTCCGGACATTTCCTTCCACGCTGTGCCCGCGTTTCCGGAGTTTATCGGCCCCGAACAATGCGGCCCTCGCCGAGCGCCTTCCCCGGGCCGCTCCGGCCCCGGCAGACGGGCTRGCCGGGGCTTCCTGCCATTGTCCGGAGAGGCTCCGTGCTCGGGGACAAAAGGCAGCAGCCGAGCTCTCCCGAGGAGTCCCAGCGCTCCCCACAGCGCCCAGTAAAACAACCAGCTCTGCGGGACGGAGGAGAGTAGGGAGGAACAGAGGGCACGAAGAGGTTAAAAAGGGCCGTGGAATGAGCCCCTCTGAAACACTCCCAGATGGGAAAAGAACCGAGAGCCTTGATGGATGTGATGGCCCTGCGGCCGAGGCCACCCGGTGCAGGCGCTGCCAGCGCTCGACCGCTTGGCGGGGGAATTCCACTTGGGAATTGTACATCAGTGTCCTGCTCCAAAAACCTCGGAGGTTTCACTGAACTATTCAAAGGCACAGATGATTAAAGTCTCTCCAAAGTGTAGGCAGGGGGTGGCAATAGCCCAAAACCCCATGGATTTGGTGGCTCAGCCCCGTGTCCGGCTTCCCTGACTGCTGCAGACKCTCCACAGAAAGCTGGAGAGGCTGGGCAAGGGGAGAGGGAGAATGGGAGTGGGGCAATGGGAGCATATCAGTGGGAATGGGACAGTGGGAATGGGGCGGTGGGCACGGGACAGTGGGAACAGGACAGTGGGAATGGGACAGTGGGAACAGGACAGTGGGAACGGGGCGGTGGGAACAGGACAATGGGAACAGAGCAGTTCAAACAGGGCAGTAGGAACAGGCAGAGGTGCCCAAGGGGACACACGGGCAGGGGATGAAGGCTCCGGGCAGCCAGAGCAGCTGCAGGCTCACTGCTCTCACCGCCGGCAGGGATTGGGCAATCCCTGCCCCAAAAACCCTGCGCCAGAGCAGTTTAACCCAGGCGAGCTCRGTTCACCTCTGCAGGAAAACATCCACCCAGAGCAGAGCAGGAAGAGCAGCCAGAGGCTCCCGGGGCGGGGTGCGGCTCGTTATGGGGTGCCCCGGCGGGGACACACAGCGAGCCCGGATCGGGCAGTGCTGCAGTGCTGCAGGGGTGAGGGGTGCAGGGTGCAGGGGTGAGGGGTGCAGGGGTGAGGGGTGCAGGGGTGCAGGGTTACAGGTTCGGGACTGCAGGAATGCAGGGCTGCAGGGTTACAGGACTGCAGGCTCGGGGTCTTAGGGCTGCAGGGTTACAAGTGCAGGGTTGCAGGGTTACAGAGATACGGAGCTGCAGGACAGCAGGCTCAGTGTTGGGGCTGCAGGCTCGAGGCTGCAGGGTTATGGGGCTGCATGGCTGCAGGGTTATGGGGCTGCATGGCTGCAGGGTTATGGGGCTGCATGGCTGCAGGGTTATGGGGCTGCATGGCTGCAGGCTGCATGTTGCACACACCGCGGCACTGTGAGCCCTCTTTCGGGCTCCGCTCCCAGCCGCACTGACGGGACGCTCACAGCCGGCGCTGTCACTGTCACTGTCACTGTCACCGCCGCCCCCGCACGTGCGGCAGGCAGCGCCTGTGTCCCCGACACAAAGGTGGCTTCTCTTTATCGGGACTGGCGCGGGGCTGAACCCACCCCTTCCCCCCACAAACACACACCCTCCCRCACACAACTGCTGGCATCAGTCTCCAAGAGATTTTGGGCTCCCTGTCAGACCCCAGCCCTATCCCAGCAATCTGCCAGCCCGGGAAGGGCTCTCACCAGCTGGCCAGGGACTCTGAGTCTAAAAAGTGCTCCAGAAAACAGCATCAGRGTTGCTTTTTAAGCAGCATGAGCATGGCAGTGAAGCCATCATGGGTTTAACCCCAGGACCCTGCAGCAGCCTCTCCTGCCACGGAGCCCAGTGCTCTGGAGCTGAATGTGGCTCTGCAGGGTGTTCCTGAGCAGCCACAGGACCCTGAGCTGGGAACAGGACCCTGAGCTGGGAACAGGACCCTGAGCAATGGACTGTGGTCCTGTGCTGAATACCAGAGCCCTGAGCAGCGCCCAAAGCCAGGGCAGCAGCACCCAGAGCCCCCAGCAGCACCCAGAGCTGCAGCAGGRCAGAGCGGGGTGTGGGGCCAGAGGYCACTCTCAGCCCCCTGCCAGTGTCACCCAGGGAGAACAGTAACAGCAGCACTGGCCATAAGTGATCTCGGCACTGTCACCTCATTCCTGCAGCAGTGCAGCCAGGGCCAGCCCTGCTCTGGGGGTTCAGGGAGCACCCCAGGGCCTCCAGGGATTGCCCAGGCCAGCCCCATGMAGAGCTCCCTCGGCACAGCCCCTGCTGCTCCTGCTGTGTGGCAGGGTCACACCTCACTGCTGACCACGTCTGCTTGCTGAGATCAGCCCCCACCACAGCCAGAGCCCTGCAGGAGCTGGTGGGACAGAGGGTCTCATCCTGGCATCCCCTGCACTCTGGGGACTCTGTCACCRGGGTCTSTCTGGGGTCCTGGCCCTGCTGTGGGCAGTTCTTTGCCAGCACAGACCCCCAGTGCACCTCTGTCTGTGCCCATCCCAGCAGGCAGCAGCTGCCCAGGCCATGGCACCCACAGGATGTGGGTGCAGTGGTGGGGATGGCCACCCACGGCCCCAGCACGCTGCTCTGGGGAATGTCCCAGGGACTGAGCACCTCCCAGAGCTGGGATCTTCCTGACCGCTCAGAGGGCAGCTTTGCCGTGGTCATGGAGACAGGGGCCCCCCGTGCCAGGACACACAGGACACCTCCCCTGAGGAGCTCTCCCACCCTCACAGCRCCCCCGGAGCCTGTGCCAGCCCCGTACCTTCCTGTGGCCCGAAAACAGCAGCGTCAGCTGGTGAATGGAGCCGCCGTTCTTGACCAGCTCTTTCTTGAGGGTCCTGGGGGAGGGCAGTGCCCAGTGGGCGGCGGTGCCCTGGCCCTCGGAGCAGTTGAGGGTGGTGTCCGAGGTGAAGCAGTGGCCCTTGGCCTCCTGCAGCAGGCTGCCCTCGCTGTGGGTGCGGCGCCGCAGCGATCCCTGCACGCTCAGCGTGTAGCCGGSCTGCCCGCCCGACGTCTCGATCATGCTGCTGCGCTTCAGCTCGTTCCTGTCCAGGTACTGCTCGTCGCTGTCCTCCTCCTCCTCCTCCTCATCTTCATCCTCCTCATCCTCCTCCTCGTCCTCCTCGTCGTCCTCGCCGTCCGTGGTGCTGCCCGCCGTGCCCGCCGCGCTCCGGCTGAAGGTGCTGTCGAGCCGCAGCTCGGGGATGACAAAGGCCGGCAGGGAGCTGGGCTGCTCCTCTCCCTTAGCSGTGGCCATCGGCTGCTTCTCCGCCAGGAGAGGAGCCTGGGTGGCTCCCAGAGCGTCCCAGGGCTCGGCCAGAGATGCTGCCTTGGCAGCCAGAGGGGCAGCACCCACTGCTGCCTTCCCATCCTCCGAGTGCATCTGCCCCGGCGTCTCGGCGTCCGTCTCCAGCATCTGCCCAGAGGAGAAGATAAAGGATGAAAGCAGAAGCACCCCAAATCTGTCTGGACACCTTCCCGGGAGCCTTTCCCCTCCTAACACCCCACCCACAAGGCTGGCACCGATCTGCACAACCCTAACAGTGCTCTGGTGGGGTGCGATGGCACCGTCCCCATGTGCGCAGGTGGTGGCGCGTCACCCATCGCTCTGTCAGCACCCAGTCCTGCTCCTGATCCCTGGAACGCCGGSTTCCCCTGCTGGCAGGGGGGCGATGGTGGCACTCAGCCCCTCCTGCAGCACCCGGCAGCACYGGTGGATTTTGAGGAACCCCAGGATGCGGGCTGGGCTGCAGCGCAGAGGCAGAGCCGGTGACAGCTCCTCACCCCGATGGCTCCCCTGGGTGCCCTGGGAGCCGCTGGGGGGGCTCAGCCCTGCAGGGACCTTCCCCGAGGGCTGCCGAGAAATCCAGCGGCTCCTGCAGCAGCTCTGGCCCCTCCTGCACCGCGTTATCAAACACCAACGGGAAGCTCCGGGCTCTGCCCATCCCTGGATTGCCCCGGCTCAGCCCAGGGCTCTGGGCAAGCCCTACAAAACCACAGCCACTCCTGCTTGCCCCTCTCGGGTTTTTAAGCCTTTGGGGCTGGTTTTTCCAGGGGTTTTTTTGCAGCTGGGGAAGGCCTGAGCAAGGTCTGTCCTTTCAAAGGGAAAAGCCCAAGGGGAAAAACCTCCCAGGTTTTTTTTTTGTGAGCAGAGAGGGAGCCTGTGATGAGCCCCCACTCCCAGAGTGGGGTCCTGTGTAATTTCTGACTAAGCCAAAGGGGCAAAACCAGCCGAGCAGGAGAAAACGACCAAAGGGGTGAAAAATCCTCCCTTTGGGAAGCAATTCCCTCCTACACAGATCCCGGGGCAGGGGCTACTGCACAGGACCACCCCAAGGTAACAAATCACCCAGAAAAGCAGTCACTGTATCCCCAGCTGAGATCAAAGCATTCTCACAAACCCAATGACAACCAGAAAGCTGCACTCAACACAACCATCTCTCTGCAGGAATTGATTTGAGCTTCCAAAAGGGCAGCAGCCCCAGGAATCAGCCCATCCAGCCTCACATCCCATTGGGAAGAGGCACCCATGGAGTGGACAGAGGTTGTACCCCCGTGTGGGTCCCAGTCTGTGGCAGCACCCCCTGGGACAGCCACCCCGCTGCTGGACACCCCTCACCCACAGGTGATAACCCAGCCCTGGACACCCCCAGACTGCTGGGGGCAGATGTTGGGCTGCAAAAACTGCTGTCACCCCCAGGAACCTCCCCGGGGGTGGGGTGTGAGCCCCACAGAGGAGACAGCACAGAGCCCACCAGCAGCCCCTGCCTGAGCTCACAGGGCAGAGCTGGAGASTTTTCCAGGGAGATGCTGGAGCTCAGTGCCCCAGGCAGCTGGGCAGCACATGGGAGCTTTGTCCTGTTTTATGACACCCAAAGGGTCCCTTGTGACACCCATAGGACAGAGCACGGGCTCTCTCCCACCCATCCTGGCTGGCCCCAGCAGTGACTCAGCATCACCTGAACTCCCCCAGTGAGTCTGAAGACTAAAATTCAGAGCCTACCCCGTGCTTGGCCCCTTCCTGAGATCACGCCACCCATGAAACAGTTGGATTTGGTGCCAGGCACAAAGCAGRTGCTCCTTTCAAGCCATCCTTGGGGCTGTTCCAGTGCCCCCAGTGATTCCTGGTAAGAAGGGAATGCTTCCAGGCTTGCCAGGCAAGGCTGCCATTTGCACCAGCGTGTGCCTGAACGATGCTGCTTCTGTTTTATTTGTCTTGCAATCACTGTCATCATTATCTCATGAAATAATTAGAGGAAAAACCCATACAGCCCTTGAGTCACTCCCCACAAAGCCCTACCCCAACACCGCCTATCTGCCCAGTCCTCCCGCTCACATTGCTGGGTGCCTGCATCAGATAAGGTYCTCCAAGGAAATGAACAGGCTCCTTTAAAATGAGAGACATTTGGGGATTAAATTAAATCCCTGCACTAATTCAATCAGAGCCTCTGCAGCTCTCCTCTGGCATGGAGGGGATGAGCAGCAGCCTCACCACGAGCGAGGGTTGGTTCCATCTCGGGCTGAGAGCATCACCAGGGCTGTGAGATCCTGTCTGCACAGGGCTGAGCTCTGCACAGCATCACCTGGGGTGGGGAGAGATGGGCGAAGAGAGGCAGCAATGCCATCACTGGCAGCCCACAGCTCTGCTCCTGGCTGGAGGCACCAGGRACTTCACCAGCACGAAGCCACCTTGCTGCCCAAAGCTGGCTTGGGACCTCTAGGATGGGGATGTGACCGGGTTTCACAGAGTCACAGAATGGTTTGGGCTGGAAGGGACCTTAAATCCCATCCAGTGCCACCCCTGCCATGGCAGGGACACCTCCCACTGTCCCAGGCTGCTCCCAGCCCCAATGTCCAGGCTGGCCTTGGGCACTGCCAGGGATCCAGGGGCAGCCACAGCTTCTCTGGGCACCCTGTGCCAGGGCCTCCCCACCCTCCCAGGGAACAATTCCTGCCCAATATCCCATCCATCCCTGCCCTCTGGCACTGGGAAGCCGTCGTCCTTTGTCTTGTCACCCCAAAGCCTCATCCAAAGTCCCTCTCCAGCTCTTCTGGATTCCCTTTAGGCCCTGCAACAGGCTCTGAGCTCTTCCTGGATCCTTTGAGCAGCTTTTCCAGTACCTGAAGGGTGCTGGTGCCTTCTCACCACTTCATGTGGCCAAGGGACTGCTGGAGGAAGCAGCAGTGGAGGCAGTGCTGGGGCTGAGGTGCTGTCTTCCAGACTCACCCTAAACATTCCACACTCTCACTGCAGCAGCAGCAGCTCAGGAGCCAGCAGCCAGCATCTGGATTTCTCCATTCTCACTGCCTCGGTGCTCTCAGCATCTGTGTGTCCCCATCCTCAACATGCAGGTTTCCCTTTTTTTCACCATCTGCATCTTGCCCTCCTCAACACCTTGGTCTCCCTGCACTCAGCAAGTTGCTCTTCCCATTCCCAGACCTGGGTTTCCCTGGACTTCAATCTCCATTCTCCCTGGAGGATCTCACACTTCACTATTTCAGTTTCTRTCTCAGACTGAGTGGCCACAGCAGCGTGTCCTGAGAAGGGGAAGAGGAAGCAGAAGCAAGAGCTGCCTCCAAACCCCGGGCTGGCAATCTGGGGTCATTTTAGGGAAGGGGGAAGATAGGACTGAGACTGGACCAACAGTTCCTAAGAATGACCTCCTCACTGAACGAGTGTTACACACTCCAAAACCAACACTGCCCTGCCTGCTCCAACATCCTCAAGCCTTGCCCTTATTATCCACTTCCCRGGTTCCCTTTGCCTTCAAAKATTGTTSACTGCCTCAAAAATCYRAATTTTTTCACATTTTTYCAAGTTTTACTGAAGCCAAGASARGTCAGAAGTCCTGCATACCCTCTGYTCCTTGGTCTGTAACTCRAGYAGGTTTTTCTGAGTTGYTGCTCCCARCCAGGGCTGTTCCAGTTTGCCAGCAGAGGAAATTTCAACCACCAGATGTGGGAAATTTCAACGACCATCACCACAGCCTTGACTTCTCCACAATTTTTTTAAATAATGTGGCCTTGCTGGTGGCCCACAGCTGGGATTTCCAGCTGGGAAAGCCCCAGCCTTGGAGACAGCCCAGCTGGGAGCTGAAAACCACCCTGCCCTTGCCCTGGTGCTGCCAGGTCTCCCGCTGCCAGAATGTGGCATTCCCTGAAATCCCCAGCTCAGGGAGGTCAGAGATTTTTTTTTTTTTGAGACTCATTTCAAAGCCTCTGCTCCTCTCAATCATGGAGCTGCGGTGGCTGAGCAATGCCTGGCCCCGGGGACATTTAATTCAGCTTTTCCTGGCTCCAGATGGGGACGCTCAGGTTTTCTATTTCTTTTGTGATGATGCTGAGGGAGTGGAGGTRAAACAGAGCTCAAAGAGCTGCCCTACACCCAGGTACCTCCTCAGCCAAAATCAGGGGCTGGAAAAAGCAGGGAAGTCCCTGCAGGACTGTTGGACATGGATGTGAGCAGGAGAGCAAAGGATGCRCTGCTGCAGCTGTGCTCTCAGCTGGGAGCAGTGGATGGAGCTCCCAAGGTGCTGCTGAAGAGCCGACCTTGTGTCCCGTGGGGGAACCTCTCTGCTGCCCTTGCAGGTACCTCTGTTCCAAGGTGTCCCCAAAAGCATTTCACTCCAGGGGAATGAGACCAACTCTCTCTCCAGGGGTGTTTCATGAGAGATGCAGGCATCTTTGCTACTGGCACTGGTTTCCCTGTGCTGGAGTAACACCACATCCCACAGCAGAGGAATTGCAGGGAAAATAGCACCTACATCATCCAGGGAAACATCAACCCTTCCAAAGTAGGTTTCTCCTAAAGCAGAAGGAAAATATTTTACAATTTCGATTCTTAGCATGGACAAACTGTGCCCAGATCCACCAGATCAGAAACTTCTACCATTGAAGTGAAATGCCAATGAGCACCTCAGGATTTAAAAAGTGACAGCTGAGAACCAAGGAAGCTCACAGCTACAGGAACAGCATCCCCACAGCACGGGGCTGAGGGGAACAAAGCAAAGCCAGAAATGCAAAGCAGAACCACCAAAACTTGAGAAAATCTTCATGGGAGTCATTGTGAAAGTGCTCACGAGGAACATTCCCCGAGCTCTGCTCCTCAGTGGGGCCGGCTGGAGCCCAGGGCTYGCTGCACAGCCGGGTTTTCTACCCACTCCCTGCTTCATTACCGCAGCAATGAATAATTGATCCGAGCAATTAGTGTAACAGCTAAAGCAGCTAAAGCGGGTGTATCATCCCGAACAGCAGGATCAGCAGTGCCTAGGGCAGGGCAGTGAGGCACAGATGGGAGACCGGGGGGGAATGTTTGTACCACCCTAAAAAACGGGGCGTGAGCTGCCTCCGAGTCCTGGCAGGAAAATCTCTCCTCGAGGGAGGAAGCGGTCCCGTGATCCCTGCACAGATCCCATTCCCAGCCCTAACATT